GGCTCATTTTACCACTCCCCCAGAGTTAAACAGTTGAGTTTTACCGTTTTCGAATCCATTCAGCCGATTTTCTGATATTTAGAAGAAAATCAGTAACCAGACAGTTTCTGGTCTCATTGACTTCCATAGTATATATTTTTTTCTACCATGGGAGTCAATGAGACCAGAAACGGTCTGGTTACTGATATTCTTCGAAATATCAGAAAATCGACTGAATGGATTCGAAAACGGTTAAACTCAACTGTTTAACTCTGGGGGAGTTGTAAAATGAGCTTGTTTCCAAAAAAAAGTGGAGTTTCCCTTTAACCAGTGGAAAACCATTGGGTAACTTTTCAAAGCAGAAAAGTAAATAGTTAAACTATGTTACAAGGTAGTAGCGTACCAATCTGAGATGCTTTTCAATACAGGCAAAACTATAGTTTTTCATAAACTATTTTGCTTCTATTAGGTCTTCTTTCAGACTAGCGGAAAGAAAACATCTAAAATACATATTTAAGTGTTTTATTAGTGTCTGTAGTTTTACATTTTCTCAATTTTCTTTTCAAAAAAACATTTTTTCCCCTGTACCGAGGGAAAAAAAATCTCCACTTTTACAGCACTTACATACACAAAACCTAACATTTTTATTCCTATCTATATTCTTGTACCGTCCCAGAATGTCATCGGCCTGATTTATATAGCATTTTCTTCACTGTAAACATGATAGCCATTGAGTCATTTGAACATATTTCTTCTCCTTCACTCATAACAATTGCCATGACAAGTTTGGGATTTTGACTTGATCCATTGACTTGAAACAAAGACTATCTTTAAGTTGAGTTCAGTCCAGCAAATATTCAATTTGTGAACTAATAATGGTAGGTCAGTTTAATGAATCAGTTAAGCAGTCTGTGAATCACTGAATCTGTCAGATAACACACTCACTGACTTAACTGGTCGGAGTGATTCAATGGTTAACAGTTCGGTGAACTGGTGACAAGATGCTTTAAAGCATAAAGAACAAAAAGCCTACAGATTATTTTAAATTTGTACCCTTATCAAAAGTGTTTTTACCCGTATGTACATGTTCCATTTTCTTACTTCCTCAAGACTCTCAGACAGACAAATAATGAAGTTTCTTGTACTGTTTTTGGAGATGTGTTTTGTTTTAGCTGTTAATATTTCACACATTACTTAAAGGGATATTCCACTTTTTTTGGAAATAGGCTCATTTTACCACTCCCCCAGAGTTAAACAGTTGGGTTTTACCATTTTCAAATGTATTCAGACGATTTTTTTTTATATTTAGACGAATATCAGTAACCAGACAGTTTCTGGTCTCATTGACTTCCATAGTACTTTTTTTTTTCCTACTATGGAAGTCAATGAGACCAGAAATTGTCTGGTTACTGATATTCTTCTAAATACCAGAAAATCGGCTGAATGGATTCGAAAACGGTAAAACTCAACTATTTAACTCTGGGGGAGTGGTAAAATGAGCCTATTTCCAAAAAAAGTGGAGTATCCCTTTAAGTAGCTTCAGTATGGCACACTGTTTTGTCATGTAGGTTGTATTAAAGTTAGATGCATTTTTGCAATGATAAAAACTATTTAAAATAATTTAAAACATCTTAATCTACACGCAAACGCTTATTAAGTTCTTTTTACAATAAACAATGGTATTATAATATCATTAAGACGACTGCCTATGATTGCGTGTCCTTGCATTCCCTGAACCCACCTGTTGTCCTCTTTTGGTTTTCCCAGCAATTGTTCTTCCGCCTTCTCTCTAAATCCACCAGTGATGCACATAAAGTCTGGTTTCCCTTTAAAATGATTCCTAAACCCCTAGTTCCTGGCCACCTCTGAGCTTCAGTGTGTTATGGAGTGGAAGCATGTGAGGAGCCAGTGAACGTCACTTGTAGATACAGCATATGTTAACATTTGCTATTGGCCAAACTCTTGAACAGAACCACCCAGTGTACCGAATTGTGCTTGCTGTGCATCATGTATTCTTTACAAAGAAACGCTATAAAAATGCAAATCCATCTAATGCAGAAGTTCATTTATTTATAAGGCACTTCTAAAAGTAACTAAACATAGGAAATTAAAATATGCAGAAAATATTTATGCTAACTGTGCAAGAATGATCGTTGTTTAGATATCTGGAGGCTATGCATTACTGTACTACTTTTTGCCAAGAAATTGTCAAGATCACAAGGAACCAGTTGAGAAATGCTGTCTCTTTGTGCTTGCGTATGTCATTATTTCAGTTTAGAGCCTGTGCTTCTGTATTGCTCACTGACACTGTTCCTCATCTTGCAAACAGTCAAACTTTTGGGTCAAATCTAAAGTCGGAAAATTATGTTGACTAAAAATGGAGTGAGTTTTTGATCGAGTATGGTCTTCTGGTGCATCTTTGAGCAGCAATCCAACTAACAGAACATTTGTAATCCACATCAAGGATCTTTAAATAGAGTATGAAGTAGGAGTGGAACGGTACACATATTCAGTACGAGTCTACATTTCGGGACGCGTGAACACAGTGTTGTTTTAACTTCTGCACGTGTGCCGAACATCATTTCAAACTCTTGAGTATTTTATATCGATATACTTTGATGTTGCAAACACATCTGAAAAATAAAAAAAGACAGAGTGAGCCGCTGCCGGATAAATGCACGATATTGCAATATTGTGCAATATTGACATACTTTTCTTTTTTTCTTTTTTTAAGAACAGGCATAGTTTGATCAGTAAACCACGGTTTAATAAAATAAAAAAATGGTTTGTTTTTCCCCCTGCTGTACTGAAACCATACCAAACCATGACATCAAAACCAATGTGCGTACCAAAGCATAATTTCTGTGTACCGTTACACTCCTGGTAGAGCTGCACGACTGGACAAAAATCGGAAAAATCGGGAATCACAGAGATCACGATTCTCAATAAATAACTAAACAAATAAAAACACGTCATTTAGAGGTCTGACAAAAAGTTAATTGCTGCATTTTTATGAAAAAATATATAGTTCATTTGAACGAATATTTAAAAAAAACGGTTTGAATGAATGATTCAATGAAAAACACAATAAAAGTCACTTGTCGCCACCTACTGGTGCAACGATGTAATTATACAATATTTGAAGTGTCAAGTTGCTAACATAGACAGTAGTGTTAATTTCAGAGCTATATAGTTTGATCCCAGTACTTCTGTGAATTTAAATGATCGTAAAAGAAACGATCATACTATGTGGTGAAAACTGTTTTCATTTTTCATATGAAAAAAGCTTTTTCATACCCATCCATGATAACTGCTCTCTGGCTCAGCGGCAGCACAGACGCAGATCTGAATCACTGTGATCGTACTTGACAAATGTTTAATAGACATAGCTGAATCATTGGTATTTAGGAATAAGGAATATGTGTGTATTAGTTTGAATCAAGACCGAATTAACGATTAATCGTGCAGCTCTAACTCCTAGTATGAAGTAGGACTGCCCCCGACTAAAGATTTCTCTAGTCGACAGTTAGTCATTCATTTAAAGTCCCCGTGAACCAGAAGTTGCAAACGATTTTTCTCCAGTGCTGTGACGTATTTCCAAGTGAAATGGAATATTGAACAGAGGGCAGGGTTGTACTCTAACGCTCCTCCTCTCCATCTCTCGCTCATAGCGAACTAACGGTTTGAGGGGAGTGGTTAAGCGTTTCCCCACCCAAGCTGTGAAACCTACGTCATCAGAAAAAGGAAAACATTCCGTAACTTTTCAGATTTTGATTAAAGATTACCAAGGTAAAAATGTTTTTTAATATATATTTACTTGCACGGATTAATTGTTCACCACAAGACTAGTAATATGCGCTAACAAAGTAAATGGGTTCAATTTTGATTTCACGGGTACTTTAAGCCAATAGTCGATTAGTCTGGCATTTGAAATACAAATTAAGCGCGTGCATAATTCTTGCCACACCAATATCGGCAAACATCGTATGAACTTCTCTCAGATCAGAACGCAAACAAAATAACACCCTTAAATACTTTTAAAATGTATTATAAACAAATAAATAGAGCAAACGGACACACGTATAAGAGAAATATCAGGCCGACGGACAAATAGCCTCAACGTCGAATGAAAACTCATGTCAGAACACAAATAAATATACAATATATAAAAACTAATAAATAAAATATATAGCAGATACTTGACTCTCAGTCACTATTTTCATCATATTATGAGAAAAAGGAGCAAGTTTGTCCACTTTGTCGGAGAGAAGGAAGCTCCGTGTTTTGTTCATTGTGTAGCATAGTGTAACGCTAGGATACGATATAGCGCACGTTAACGTTAGAACGAGCGGCCATGTGTAGCTAAAGTTAGACTGTTTGATATGATTTTGCTTCTTTACCCTCTCAAAATGTTCCCTCACTTTGGACTTTCTGCCAAATCACTGCATGGACCAGCAGTATTAACGATCTGTCACTGCGTGACTTCTCCAATCCCAGTGGAGGTTTGTTGTTCTTCCTAGGATTAACCCACTAAAATTAAACGTAGTTGACCATTAGGGGGGGCAGCCCAAGAATGAAGCCCTGAAAAGTTTCTTAAAAAGCAACCTGGTCCATCTAAAACACACACGATAGATTTAGAGGAGAGTGTTTGCAACATGTCAACCATCATTGATTGGTTCAATCCAGAAACATATTTCTGCAAAATCAGCTCTACTATAGTACAGTAGTGGAACACTGATGTCGTGTTTTGACAAAAACCGTCATTGAAAGCAATGTTGCTGAAACACGGAAAGAAAACTAGACAGTCATGACACTAACCTTGCTTTATTTTGAGCTCTATGGCTCTTCATTTGCCAGATATGATGGCAACCATGCACCAGTAAACCGTCAGTGCAAAGCAAAAAACACACAAACACTGTTTGCCTACTGTAAGCCGAAGACGTGACAAAACGAGAGCAGAAAAGTTGAACGAGACACCTAACACCCTTGAGGAGTTCTGTAGGAAACCCCTCATATTTTACCTGTGATACCGCTGGTAGTGCAGCTCCATCTTCCTGCTTTCCTTCAGGTCCTTCTCTTACTGGCACAACCAGTTTGGACACAGCACTTCTCCACTCTAAAGATCAAATTAAAGTCATTTGAAAAACATTACGTCTTTTCCAATTCATGATAATACACACTAGAAGCTGTACATGTAAAGAAAGGCCATTTGTTGGTGTTTACCTGATTTGAGTGTTTCAGAGTCAAGCATGCCTCCTTCTTGAAGATTCAGGAGACCGTCGGGTTTGACTTTTTCCCAGGGGACATAAGTGACGCCCCGCTCCACGTCCCAGTACTTCTTCAGGTCCGACTTTATGCCCTTATTCAATGCCCATGCGATCTGATCAAGGACAACAAGTCAAACAGCTGCCCACACATAGATTCAAAACAAGCATGTGGGGCTACTACACACTCAAACATGGGATCTGGGACAACCAAAGTAACGCAAGCAATCTTAACAACTAGGGCTCGGTAATAAATATCAATTTCTCGATATGAATCGATTCTCATTTTTACGAACCGATATCGATTCTTAAATCTCAAGAATCGATTAGTCATCTTGTTTCATTTGAATGAATGGAACGTTGTATCGTGGCTGCGCGCATCAAATAAATAAATAAATAAATAAATAAATGTTTAAAAAAAAAATATCGCAATAATTTTGGTCCTTTGTTACTATTGATATGAAACAAAGTCTCAATTTTCAAATTACGTCCATTTTCTTTAGAAATTCAAAAACATAAATAACGTTTTGCCGCTGTGGCGTGAGATCACTCTGGCGCAGCTTAAGAGAAGCAGCAGCGCTGATCTCTCTTCCGGGTTAATAATACCAGTCACAGCGCGAAATAAACATGAATGAGCATCTGAAAGTGTGTTAAAAGATAAGAGTACGACTTATCGAAATCCGTATCATGTCACATTGATTCGCTCAATCAGCGTTTCAGTTAAACAGCTTGTAATCAATGTCATGTATCGTCATATTTACCTCAGAAAACCCACATAAACTCGTTAGTCAGCTAGAAAAAATAACTCTAGAGAGGAGCATTTTGCTAAATATATACACCATATTACATATGCATTATAATCTTAATGTTCTTCTATATTTAATGCATATTTGAATAAATCTGGCAAGTTTTTATGACAGCCACCATTTAAATGTTTATATGTTTATATATTTCATATAATCTTATTTCTTATTATAAAAATAATTAAAAGTGTAATTTAAGTGTTTGTATAGCTACAAAACAGCACATTATTACCTTCATATTAGGCTAATGAAGCCCAACTAGACTCCCATAGTTTACAGCATTAGTTAAGAGATTTTATTTCCTTGAGAAAATTTGCCATTTACTGTAACTGATATCCAAAATAATCAATATTGAATCGAAATCGAATCGAATTGTGAAATTTGTGTCAATACCCAGCCCTACTAACAACAAACACAAACACTATTGCATGGTTGTCATTTAAAGAATGGACTTGTGTGTTTGGAAGTCTATTCGTGTATAATGACAATCATGAGAAAAATGTATTTTTTACTTACCCAATAAATTAATTATGTGAGAAGAAGAGTTCAGAGTGATGCAAGAGACATACAACTAGCAAAGCTAGGTACTAGGAGATCAATTTCTACAGCAACTCTCATTTATACAGATCAGTGTCATATATATCTATTGTTCCCTAATCTAGCTTTTGTTTAAAGAGGACCTATTATGTTTATCTTCCTTTATTCTCTATAAATGTCACTGTTTCTGAACTCCCTGAAACGCCTCCATTGTAGTCTTGAGTTTCTTCCAGGAATGAAAATGGCACAATATTCCTCATTTATTATATTCATAGCCAAGGCATATGCAAACTAAAGGGGCGGGGCCTGCTTGAGTTAGTTAGTAGTGCGTTGAATAAGGCTGGGAATCTCAATTCAACTGGCCCCACCACAAAATAGTAACAAATTAATAAAATAGTTATTGTTTTTGACCTATGTTTCCTTGTATTGTGATAAATAAGGTTATGACACACAATATTATAGATAGCAGATAGATATGAAATTTAACAATTCTCAATTCCATTTTCGATACCACAGCTAAAACTACTAACTAATATAAATGTCAAAGATTATTAAAGACAAGTAAACGGTCATTAATAAAAAAAAGAACGAATAATTAAACTTAAACAATAGCACAAATAAATAAATACAATAGAACAAGTTTTTTTAGGTAGATCTAACATTTCCTGTACAGAAATTTAATTAAATAATCAAAAGTAAATTAACACATATAATCTTAAGAGTACAAATTAAATAAAGGTAAATTCTTATTAAAGATATTCAGTGAATAGATCAGAACGCAAACCAACTAACATCCTTAAATTAAATACTTTTAAAATGTATTATAAACAAATAAATAGAGCAAATGGACACACGTATAAGAGAAATTATCAGGAGTTTTCATTATCGAATGAAAACTCATGTCAGAACACAAATAAATAAATAAATATATAAAAATGAATAAATAAAATATATATCAGATACTTGACTCTCAGTCACTATTTTTTTTTATCATATTATGAAGTTTTTCCGTGTTTTGTTCATAGTGTACCTGGTCTTTGAGAAGATACATTTCATTTTTAACTTCCACACTCTGCATGAGCACTTGGATACGAGCCTAATAATAGCGCACGTTAATGTTAGAACGAGCGGCCATGTTTAGCTAAAGTTATACCGTTTGAGATGATTTAATGATAGGCAAACGTTTGCTTCTTTACCCTCTCAAAATGTTACGCGCATTACCGGTTCCATATCCGTGCCCGGTTTCGGTAGCCAACCCTATTGTTATGTTCCTGGTTTGGACAGAAGCATGCGCTAAATGTATTCAAGAGAGTTATATAATAAGTAATAATAACCCTGACAAGGCATTTCAACCCAAGAACACTGTGGACAGGAAGAAAAGGTTGGTCACGGTACCTTAATGGATTTCTGGTTGACTTTAACAGCCCCTCTGCTGAGTTTGTTCAGGGCTGTGTGGGCATCCTGTCTGTGCACCATTACGATGTAGGCACAACCTCTGGGAGGAATCATCTGCACAGGATCAAACACAGCATATGTATTTAATAAAAACATTTGAAATGTTATGTTAAGAAAATGTAACCACAAATAAGCAATGGACTTAATAATAAAATAAGATACATGTTTCACATTTTGACTATTCCTGTAAGCAATATTTCCATTGTGGAGGAGATAAAGGATAAAGGCTCTGTTCCAAAATCTAGTAAGCAGCCTTGCTGTCTAAATAGACAACTACATCCCAACTGAATTGGAACCTTATAATAGACCTATTTGAGTCTCATATACAATAATGCACAAAGTGCAGTGCATTCTGGGACTTCCTTCACATGTGATACTGCCTTATTTGTACTGCCTCTTTGGTGGAACTGACCAAAACATGTGAACACACACACACACACAACACAATAAATGGACATGATTTGGATATGTTAAAGCTGCAGTCCGCAGTTTTTCCTCTTTGCAATTGCTGTTTTTGAACAGAGATGGCGACAGTCATTCACGGAATTATCAACTTTACGCGAGTTGTAGTTCGACGCAACACAGTCTTTTACAATTTAAAGCGGGTGAATCTGTTGTCACTGGTGATTGTCGTTTGAACCTTTCTGGATCCGCCATCAAATTGATAAGTTTAATTATATCAAGGTGTTGTGAGAAAAGGCTATAAATCTCCGCCTCCAGCATCCTCACACACAATATAGCTTACTAGCCGAGACTCTTCTTTATATGTTAGGGGTGTAAATCGGACAGCTTTACATTCTACGATACGATTACGATTCGATTCAGGGCTGTATCGATCGATTTATCGATATTTAGATACTATGTGCCAAGTGTACACAACCAGTTACATTTATGAACTCATAATACATCCAAAAATATATTACATGAAAGTTTAATTAAACTCTTTGGAAAAAAAACTGCACACCCTCTCCCAATGGGCTTTATGCCCAGCTGCACTACTTCCTGAACTTCAGCCAGCTCCTTGTTTCCTGTCTGCCATTATTGGCCAAATTGATTAATTCAGGTGTGTCTGATTATTGTTGCCATGACAACTGAGGTCAGGCACACGTGGATTAATCAATTTGGCCAATAATTGCAGACAGGAAACAAGGAGCTGGCTGAAGTTCAGGAAGTAGTGCAGCTGGGCATAAGGTCAATTGGGACATGTTGTTAGTTACAAGTTTAAAAAAAAAAAAACTTAAAAAAAACAAGCACGGCTTTATCTGTTTTTGAAAATGAACTCTTCTGTTATATTAAAGTTAATTGAAAGTATATATTAGGGCTGTGCAAAAGTTAATTGCGATTAATCGCATCCAAAATAAAAGTCTGTGTTTACATAATATATTTGTGTGTGCTGTATATAATTATTTTGTATATATAAATACACACACATGCATGTATATATTTAAGAAAATATGTTATTAATATATAACATATTTATATTTATATAATATAGATTATGTATTTATAAATATATACAGAATTTAAGCGCAAATAATTCTTAAATATATACATGCATGCATAGGTATTTATATATACAAAATAAATATATACAGCACACACAAATATATTATGTAAACACGGACTTTTATTTTGGATGCGATTAATCGCAATTAACTTTTGCACAGCCCTAGTATATATATATATAATTTTATGAATTTATCATTATGTGTGAAGTAGATACATTTTCATACATTCATGGTAAAAAATGACAGAGGAAAATAAATCCAAAAAAATCAGAGAATCTTTTGGTGGTACACAAAACAAATTAGCCATGAAGGGGTTAATATCTTCAAAAGGACACACACACACACAAATTTACTGGTAAGACTGTAAGATGGCAACTTTTGAAAATATGTGAAATAAAACCAATAAATGAAAAAAATACACGAGTCTATCTCTCTTGCTCACACACACAGAAATGAATAGATTGTGTTTGCTGTAGGGCTGAACGATTAATTGCATTTGCGATAAAATCGCGATATGATGAAACGCGATTTTGTAATCGCAAGAGCTGCGATTACACTGGTCACGTGACACGCGAGAGAAAAGCAGTCTGCAAGATAAAGCATCAACTTGCCACGCTACGCGGTCTGGCGTCCAGAAAAGAACAGTTTATTGTGTTATTTATTCTCTCCTCTCCTCAACAATCCTGGATCGATTCAGAGAATTTCAGAATCGAGTCTGAGCTTATAGTTTTTAAACACAGATGCGTGATGACGCTGCGCGTGCTTTAGAAACGACCCGTGTTCTGAATCTGCTTGCTTGTATTTCTTCTCTCTTCCTCACTCACACACACGACACCGCTCGAACCTTCCAAAACATAGTAACGTTATTTTATAAAGGTCGGGGTTGAACCAAATTACAAGGACATTCGCGGGCTTCATTGAACAGGTTTTGCCGCTTTGCTTGATGTTATAACGTTACACTTGCAGTGCGCGTTCTCTCCCGCGGGAATTTTCTTTACAAATGCTTCACAGAGGCATTATTTATGTCTTTTGGAATGCAGTTGGCTTATATTAAAACCATGAAAATCACTGAGAAGGCTGCTTTCATTTTAAAATACTAACGCGTGCTTTGTGAAGAGCGCTCGTGCATGCGGCCGTGAGCGACTCATTGGTAAATGTACTTGCATGTCAAAATGCTTTTATGACGCAAAATTAATGTAAACACGGTCAGTTATATTTTAAACCAACAGGACAAACCACATTTACAATTTGAAAAGAGATATATGCATTAGTGTGAATGCAGCTTATCGTATCTAAACTGAGGGGGGAAATCACTCCAGCTCTTGAATGAAAAACATTCAGACAGCCTACTTTTAAATACTGAGACCACTAGGGTTAGGGTTTATTGCTTGTAATGGTTTTTTTTGTTTCTCTTTATTTACTAGCTTTTATATTTTGAAGCTATATTATTTTATAGCCTATTTAAAATTCTTAACATGTAATTGGTTTAATTAAATGTTTTTTTATATTTATTTTTTAAAGTATGTGTTTTTACACATGTAATTAAATGCATATTTTAAGAGTTATTAAGATTAATTAATAAGAAAAAAAGTAGATCAGATCATGAGCTATCTAAAGATTCCCATCCCTACTGTACAATGATTTATTGCTTGTCTTTGTCGACTAATACAGAAGGTAAATAACTTTTTTTTTTAAATCGCATATTAAATCGCAATCGCAATATTGGTTAAAAAAATCGCAATTAGATTATTTTCCAAAATCGTTCAGCCCTAGTTTGCTGTTATGTTAGTTTATTATGTTTGCTGTTAGGCTTCTTTCTGAAGTTTTATTACAATTTATTGAATTAAATTGAACAAACTGCCAATTAATTGCAATGTTTGTTTTGAATTATCGCCATCTATTTCTTATTTGGTTAGATTTTTAAAATGATCAATCAAATACTGAGTAACTTAAAAGCTTCCCAATAGTTCAAAATGTTGTTTTATCTAAGTCATAAGGAAAAATCTGATAATTAACTAACAAAAATATCTAAATCTTGACAAAAAGTATCTTTTAGAACGCCTAAATATACATCTAAATGTTGTTCAACCGAAAAAGTTACACACAAGTTGTACACCTTCAAACACTTCCAGATGACACTATTCCCTCTTAAAAAATTTATTTTAAAGGCCTTCACTAAACAGAAATATTTTATAACATCATAAAATATATTTACTCTCACATTTGATCAATTTAATCATCCTTGCGGCATAAAATCATTAAATTCTGTTAAAATAAACTCTCGCCCAAACTTTTAAACAGCAGCGTACATTGATAAGACTGATCTATACATACATTGATGGACTCGATCTGTCCGAACTCCTCCATCAGACTCATGATGTCCTGCTGTTGAGTCTTTTTGTCCAGCTGTCCGATCCATAATGTAGTACTGCAGACTGCAACAAACAAATGAAAACACTCAACAACATATCAGAACAATAACAGTACACTGACAATTAACATTTACAATCAGTGCAAAAAAAGATAGCAAATAATCGATTTTATGAAGGAAGAAACAACTGTGGCGTTCTCACCGCTGAGAGTTTCCTTCTTGATGGGCGGAAATCCTTTCTGTCTCCGCTCTCGCTCTTTCTCCCGGTCTCTCCTCTCCTCCGAGCGTGGCCTTGGAGAACGTCCTCGACGTTCTCTGGATCGGGAGCGCGTGCGATGATACCTCGAGCGTTCTCTGCGGGAACGGGAACCGGACCGCGATCTGCGTGAGTGTGAAGACGATCGCCTCCGTGGAGACCTGGAGATTATGAAGGAATGATTCAACCAAATCAGCTTGTCTTCATAAAATAGCACAGCTTTTTACATTAAGACTAGGTCTGAAACAAACTGTGATGAGAAGACCAATGCCTGTGAAGAGACGACTCAACGCCGGCGATATGTTATGGCGCCATTTTATATAAACAATATATATTTAATAATTATATATAAACAATATGAATGTTAGCCAGAGGAGAACTGGCCCCCAACTGAGCCTGGGTTCTCCCAAGGTTTTGTTCTCCATCCAATCTGAGTTTTGGTTCCTTGCCATTGTTGCCTTGCTTTTGGCTCGCTTAGTTGGGGATATTTAATATTTAACAATATTATTGATCTGTGTTGTACTACTTTCATGTTATCACTGTATTGTGAAAAGCGCTATATAAATAAATGTGACTTGACTTGAAACAACTAATCGATAAAATCAATAATGAAAATAATCGACAATGAATTTGATTATCGATTAGTCAAGTCTATGCCCTGGCAATATCTTGCTCTGTTGTGCTTTGACAGACGCGTGTGATATAGAGGTCTACACCGAGGCGATTTGCTTTATCGAGTCGGGTCCCGAGTCTGTCTAACATTGTGTAATACCGAGTCGATCTGAGAACACCCGGCCTTGATGAGAGCCAGTCGGCACTGTGGTGTGTTTTGTAACTTGCAACTTGTAAAATTAAGAATAGAAAAGTGTGAGGCGGGAAATAAAGTTAAAAAACAGCGACCCCAGCCAAGAGTTTTCCTGTTCCTATTGTGTGCAAAATGAAATCTAGACAAAGCTTATATTTCATGTTGCTCCAGCTTACGTGCATGTGCAGTCTCAAACAAGACACTTTCTTTCACCCAATTTTTTATTATAATATAATGAATGAACCGTCTTGTTAAATCTAAAATTTATGGTCAGACTCGGCTCAGAGAAGTCTAATGCTGACGTCAGCGGCCGTGGCATTGAATGAGCAATCATTAATATAGTGTAGCCCTCAAACCGTATTTCACTTTGTAGCCCTTAATTCTGTAATTGTGGACAAATGTGGGCACAGAGGACTCCTAATTTTTATTTATTATAAATGTTATACATCACTGTCTTCGATAAAGTTTTGTCTATCCATTTATGGTGCGTTTTATTTATTTGGGGGTATTTTTTTATTTATTTACTTCAAAAAGTAAAATATTTTGTAATGTAAATTATGCTTATTTTTATGTTTTATTTTTTTAACTACATTAAAATATCATTCCAATAAGTTCTTAGAGCTAAAACCTAAAGATGAAGTGACTTTGCTGTCACCTGGGGTCTTATTTTGGCTTATTTTAGAATGCTCTAAATTAGTTTTTCCCATTCATTTCTATGGGTGCCCATTTTTGACCCAAATACAAGATTAAGGAGGGGTTTTTTTTCACCCACTTAACATTGTAGAATTGAGTCAAAAAAATGTGGGTGTGTTCAGGAGGCAAACTTAGGAAAAGTAGCCAAGTCTTGTCAGATACCGCTCAGATAAAGGGAAATTTTTTAAAAATAAATCAAAACTATTTTGCCCACATTTGTCCAGAATACGGTTTTAGGGTTAAATGGCAAACAGTCGAAGTTATTATTATGCTATTATTACAAAATTTGCCTATCGGGTTCAGCCGGGTCAAGGTCCAACTTGCAAATAATAGAAAGGTGCGGGTGAGTTTGAATATTAGGACCTGATAAGCCTTGTGATGATTAATGCCTCTGACACATGTGTTTTCCTCAACACATGTACTTATATTTTATGGTTTATATCCTTATCTGTAGATGTTAGAAAGTACCGTGAGTATTATTTCTATTTTGCATATTCTGACAACAAGAGCGACTTGCTAAACTACACTCTTCAATCTCTCAAACAGACACAGTAAATTAGGAGTGAAATAATTCTGACTAAAATACACATTTTGCAAGTGTAAAAGTTAAAAACATACATGTAAAACAAGTAATCATATTTATGACAGCACCAACATTATAGCCCATTAATGTAATAAAACTACCACAGTGTTCATGCGAGTGATTCGAGTTTACAGTAAGATGAATTGTAATAGTGTGCTTTAAAGACAGAGAGCAAAACTCATTAGCATTTAGTCCGAGTGTTCAAAGCGAGTGAAAACATATCAGTGATGAACATATACTTAGCCTCTAACGTAAATCCAACAATTTATTAGCCAGTGGCTAATGACAGACATTGTTTAATCACCTAGCATGATAATTCAGTTGCATATGTGAGGGATTTACTAACATTGTAGAGGCTTTTTTATTCAAGCGCACTCAGAGAACATACCTTGATCCAGTTCGTCTGCCGTGTCTTCGATCTCTCCCATCATGCACCGAGCGTTCTGTCTCAGCTGAATCCTGAAATGGGTCAAAGGAATTATGCATGTGATGTTAGCCTCACTGATGTGTAAATAAGGGCAAACTGATTTTAGAACAGTTAAAGCATTAGAGCTTGGACCGGTGAGGATGTTTTGAGTTATTAATATTTGAGGTCGACCGATTCATTGGTTTTGCCGATATATCGGTCCCAATAGTTGATTGGTGAAACTATCGTTATCGGCAAAAATGCACACCGATAGTTTTTCCGGGTTGCATCCGTTGCTGGAGCGGCTGAGAAGTGCGCGCGGTCATTACCCAGCACGAGAGCACTGAAGAGACTGTGGGCATTATACAGAGCGAGAGCGGCCTCTAGAGGACAAATAACAAACTATCGCTGGCTGAGTTGTTTACGTTTACACGTGAGGCTGCGCGGAGCAAGCAGAGAACTCGAGCACAGCGAAATGGTATGAATACAGAACACTAAAGTACATATTGCCATATCATTATAAAGTCATTTATTTATTGACTAGATGCTGCATTAGCAGCGAAACAACAGCAGTTTGCTGTCGAGTCTGAAAGGAATAACATTAACGGCTACCTCAAGCGATTAAACATACGTAACAAAAACACACGAAGACATGACCCAAATGTTTTACGTTATATATCTATTTCCATTATTTTATATCTGGCTAGTCACTTTTATGCATTCATTAGCCGGCGAAGTGGCATAAAAGCTAGTGACGTGATTGTTTCTCAACATATATGTTGATATGTGATATGTTCGTGCAGCCGACAGAAACATAAATCAGAAATGCATTCAATTTCAGTTATTTTTTTTTATCATTTCAATATTGTTATTTTGATCAGATAATCATTAAGTAAATAAAGTGAGAGACTATACATGTAATATAGGTCTACATTTATGTAATTTTAATGCTATGGCCTTTGCAGTTATTTAAATATATGTGGCCTTTTCTATATGAAATGGTAACACTTTACAATAAAAATTCCATTTTTAGAATTTACTATGGTTAATAAGTATTGTAGTATTATTCATTAGATTGTTTGTTAATTTCAACATTTAGTAATTCATTTTAAATTGAGTTCTGTTATTACCTTAGTTAATGTACTATAAATTAACATGAATGATCAAGGTACAATTGTATTGCTCAAATAATGATGCATGCAGTAAAACTGTATATTGTATATCGCAAAACGCATAGTTCATAAAAGCTATATTACATCCTTGTTAACAAATGGGACTTGCGAAGTGTTAACTAAGAAATTTACAAATGACCTAGGGTATAGCTTGAAAAAAAAAAAAAACATATTTGCCCTGTAATATTTTAATGTTTAAATGATTTTCTCATGTTCTCATTTTAATATATTTATTTAATTTAGCACATTTCAGTTCAGCACTGTTTTACTTGGAGGGTTATGTTTGTTTTTAATCCAGTATCCATAAAAAATAAATAAAAATATCGGTTGAATAATCGGTTATCGGCATGCATGGTCAAATCTAAATATCGGTAAAATCGGTCGACCTCTAAATTAATATCCCGATGTTCTGTACCTGTGGCTGCTGGGTTGTACTTTGCTGTATGATGTTCTCATCAAAGGTTTGAGGAGGGTTTTCTGGTATCTGGGTCTGAACCATCGATGGGAACTCCTGAGGTGCCATCTGACCCTGGGACGGCACTTGACCCAGGGACGGCACTGGACCCTGGGACGGCACTTGACCCTGGGACGGCACTTGACCCTGGGACGGCACTGGACCCTGGGACGGCACTGGACCCTGGGACACCATCTGTCCCTGCATCTGTGTCTAGATGTGAGGAAATACTTTAATTTCATGCAATTTTTTAACAAGTCCTTATTCGTTAAAGCTCTGTCGGCCAGAATAAATACCTGGTTAACGATTTGACTTAGAAGATGAGCTTGCAGGGCTTGCTGTAATTCTGGAGGGAGGTTTCTGTAAAGAATGACAATGTTAATTAAATAATTTAATTAATTTAATTAAATTTCACTGTATGTGAACTGAGTTTATTCATGTCCTACATGGTAATGGGAGCACTAGGAGCTGGTTCAGGCTTTTCCACTACAGGTTCAGGTTCAGGTTCATCATCGTAATCAAATCGATCCAGCAGAGACTGAGTCAAACCAGAAACACAATGTTACAGGCAGTGAATTAACAGATCCAAACCATGTGTTAGCAGTGTGTTTTTTTAAACACCATAAGAACTGATTCCACTCTATTTATTATAAGTAGACATACAAGGATGCGAGGGGAAAGTCAAAATGGTCAAACTCAACCATTCAGATGGTTTACCTTAGCTAATGATGGTTTCTGCTCAATGGGCGGGGCCGTGGACTGAGGAAGCCCCGCCCCTCCGGCCTGCTGAAGACTTTGGAGAAGCTGCTGTAACTGAAGCGAATAACTCAAGTTTGATTTTTATAGCTATTTATGCACAGCACTTAATTTGTATGACTTTGAAAGTGCTTTATAAATCAAATTTGAGTTGAATATCGTGTTACCTCTACACCCCCTGTGCCTTGTAGGAGCTGTGCGACAGCAGCGAGGGGCACTGGGCCCTGAAGGTTGGGTACGGGAACTGGACTCTGAAAGTTGGGTACGGGAACTGGGCTCTGAAAGTTGGGTAAGGGCACTGGACTCTGAAAGTTGGGTACGGGCACTGGACTCTGAAAGTTGGGTACGGGAACTGGGCTCTGAAAGTTGGGTACGGGCACTGGACTCTGAAAGTTGGGTACGGGCACTGGGCTCTGAAGTTTGGGTACGGGTACGGGCGCTGGCGTTACAGCTGCAATAAATGGTGCTGGTGTTGGCTCTGGCACTGCCATTGGTATTGGCATGGCTGGAGGAGCTACAAAAAGCAATTTAAAGTGCAGTTTAACAACAGAGATGAGGCTACAGTTTAAACCACAGATCAGCAAACTACAGGCTGCTAGTTTGAATATGATACAGGTTACAGTAACTTCTCGTTAGAATATCAAACACCATCCCAGGTATTTCCATCAGAATTCTGCCAAATATATGTACTACAATCCAAAAGTGTACGTCAATGTTTTTGTTGCAGTTGTAAATATTCAGTAAGAATGCATTAAATTCATCAGAGGCGACAGTAAAGACATTTATAAAGTTACAAAAGATTTCCTTTTTAAATAAATGCTGATTTTGTTTCCAATCATCAAAATAATTACCATTTCAATATATAACAGATCTTTAAGTAGCACAGCATAGTAAGTTTTGCATAATTATATTGAGCAGCAAATCAGCATATTATACTGATTTCTGAAGGATCATGTGAAACTGACACTGAAAATTCAGCTTTGATCACTTAAGTAAAAAACATTTTAAAATATATTCAAATTGAAAACGCATAATTGAAATGACTGTTTTTACATAAATGCAGCCTTGCTGAGCTAAAGTCACTTTAAAAAAAAAATCTTAAAAGACTCTAAACTACTGAACAATAGTGTAACTTTAAATACTTTGACTCAAGAGGACAGACACAAAACCTAAAAGTTAAAGCATAATAAAAAGATGAGAAACAAGGGGTGCACGCTATCGGTATCGGCTGATATATATTCATTTTTAATGTTATCTTTATTGGCCAGTTAAGAAAATTTGGCCTATATATTTAATCTGATAAATAATGGATTATTTCCTTCAGCTGAGAAGCGAACAGTTCAACATGATTCTTTTGAATTGCTTGAATAATGATTGGAATCACTTCAAAAAGTCCAAAATAAGCTATGTCATATCGGCTACATAAAATTGTAATGAGAACGTTACAAATGTGTGTGACTTTTGTTTTTATAATCAGGCTCTCAAAGATTATATAAAAATTGGGATTTGGATTTATCGGTCAATATATCGGTTATCGGCTTTCAATTATAAAGAATTATCGGGACGGGTATCGGACAAAATTTCCATATCCGTACATCCCTAATAGAAACAAATATGATTCAGCTGAAACATTACACATTTACCAGCAACTGTAGTTCCATTCTCTAAAACGGGCAGTAGTGGAGCTGTGGCCATGTCTAACAGCGGCTGGATGACGTCCATGCCAAACACCTCATTCTTCTGCCACAGAGTTAACACGCGCAAGATCTTCCCCTACATCACAACACACAAAATCCATCAATAACATTCAGCTGGCTGCATTCACTGTAAAATCTGGATGGGATTATTCAGTACCTTGTCATCAGCTGGGCACTGGAAAAGATTCTGAAATGTTACGGTGAAGTTTTTCAAAAACCTCGGACCAAACAAATCTTTGTCTGCGCCAAACTGATGGCGTGACTGTCGGATAATTGAGTCCACCACATAGAGACCAGGGACCTTTAGATCTGGTTTACACTAACAGGAAAAAACAAACATAATCTTTACATAATAATAGCAACCATAATATGATAACGTTAATATATAGTTTACTACATACCCTCTTGATGAACTTCTCCACGATTTGAACAACGTGCTTGTAAAGCTAACAAAGCAAAAACATTATTTAAACTCAGACACCAAAAAAAAAAAAAAATTAAACAAAAAAGTATCGAAACACCAATAACAATGAAATGAGATTTTTTTAAAAATCAATAAACAGGCCACACATGAAAAAAAATGAATGTTTACAAAACTGTATAAAATGTTTACATCAACATAAGCATATGATGTGAAGGTAAAATAAATATTTTTATAAAATATTATATTCTTACATAAAATTATAAGAATCATAACAAACTCAAAAGATTAGTAACACAAAAGCATAAAGACAAGTCAATTGATCCCTGCTCATTTATTAGGATCATTATGTGAAACTCACAACAACCATATTTGTGTCCCGACTTACTTTGATAGCTTTGATTCCTGCTTTGGTTATAGACATCATTTTGGCTCGAGAGATCGGGGGAGTCATGTCCATCATGGACGACATCTACAGAGGAGGAAAAAATGACACATTTACTCTCATCAGAAACTGAAGATCAAAACTGAGAACAAAATGACATTCAAAACTTTCGACTCAGGTATCTGACTGAGTCAAAACTATCGGCTCAGTTATGTCAAACTCAAATAGAAAAGCTTATGTTTACATAAAAATAAACAAAATTAATATGAAGATGCACTCAACATCATAACAAACTATTAAAACGGGCAGATCTCTTGACCTCAAAACACTCTAATAAATCATCTGAGACTTTATCGTGTCTCTGAACCACTAGGGGCGCCACGGAAAATCTCTCTATATACGATAATATAATATTACAACAGCCAGGCAAAACTAGATTACATTGACATAAAATATGATATATAACCCTTATTTAATAACTGTATAAACATATAAGTGTGATGTGAGCACTAACGTTAAATCAAATCTTAACTAAGCGCAATTTCACAGCACGAACAGGTCGAAGGTCGATCATACTCATATCACATCTGCTTGACTAGCATATACCTAGGTTTTTATCTGACTATTTAGACGTTTAAACTGCAAAAATAGTATAATATCCATCCAGTGATGAACAATAAACGTAAACAAGGATTGTTTTGGAGGAGCTTGGCGCGCGGCCTCGGCTAACGGTAAAGGCCCAGGTAAACAGCAAATAAAACGCGAATTCTCACCTCCCCGTTAAAGGCATTCACCGCATCCATGTCCATGGGCGATATTAACTCAATATATCTTTGAATATATCCTCCTGGATCCGAATAAACATGTGTAAAATCAATAATCGCGACGAGGCCGCGTGAGATCGAAGCTCAGAAACTCAACACAACCTTCCGCTATCGGTAGCGTGGAGACGCGTTGAGCGAGCGGGGAGGGAGTGCCACCCACCGGACGGGAGAACAACTGCACTACACAGACTGAACACAGTCACTGACAAAAAATATACAGCATAGACACTATTTTTTCTATACTTTTTTTAAGGATATCGTTTTACAGTGTTTTAGATCTATCTAAAAAGTAAGCTTTTGAAAGCTGTCATGTCAAGTGAATTTTCAAGTTCCTAGTTGGGACTTGTATTTTTTTCTATGTTGTTCTATGGGGGCTTTTATTTTGAAAGAGTGTGGTGTGACACTCGATCCTCCGGATCCGAACAGAGTCAGACTCCGGTGATCATCAGCTGCCACCATGCCGACAGTCAGCGTGAAGAGAGATCTGCTCTTTGAAGCTCTGGGACAAACATACAGTACGTGTTGAACTTTTATCAGTTGTAACGTTATAAAGTGAGCGCATTTCTTAGCGTTATTATTAATGTTGTTAAACCGATTGATTTCTCCAATGTGTCGCAGCGATTGCATCAGACTCTAATACGCTGAGATTTTAACTATTTTACATTTAGTTTTGTCTTATATAATTAATATATATATAGATTTCCAGTCTGGTGCTGCTTGAATGCAGCGATGCATTATTTCTTGTGGTGTTATTTTTATTCTTCATTCATTTGAAAAGCTCAGATGTCAAACTGGAAGCCCATTGATGACGCCATCACAATGCGACTCACAATTTCTGCTTTAAGTGATTTCTTTTATTTTCTATTCGTGTGTTAGCGGATGAAGAATTTGATGAACTGTGTTTCGAGTTTGGCCTCGAGCTGGACGAAATCGTAAGTCATATGGAATTACATCTGTTTACAAGCAGATCCGATAAGAAGAAATAACAGGCCCATACGCAATGTACCAAAATAAATATATATTTATAATATCATTACAGAAATCAGGCACATATTTTTTATTTAAAAATATTTTTAAATCAACTACAAGATATATTATACCAATGTATTTATTTGTCTTAAATATAATTATGTTTTAAATATATAAACCTGTATGTATAATATCATTACAGAAATCTGACCACTGTTTTTTTAATAGTAAATAATAATTATTTTTATTATACATATAGTCATTATGTTGAAATGGATGTTAGTGCTTCTGATCCTTGTATGTCTCTCGAATGTCTAGACGTCAGAGAAGGAAATCTTAAGCCGTGAGCAGGGAGATGAGAAGGCCGAGGGGGCGTCTGATGTTGTGCTGTATAAGATCGACGTTCCAGCCAACCGCTATGATCTGCTGTGTCTGGAGGGTCTCGTCAGGGGTCTGCAGGTCTTCAAGGAGAGGTGAGACCCCGTGCTTGTGGTTCTGCTGTTTGTCAGATGCCTTTATGTGTTTGATATGAGTGTGTTTGTGTTTCTAGGATGGAAGCTCCCCGGTATAAATGTGTGAGTCCGGCAAATGGAGGAGAGCCTCAGCGGCTGGTCATAACAGAGGAGGTTCGGATCAGTGTCATATTTCACATTTTTTCGTAAGAGCTCAAGCACAGTGAGAAACCCATCAGTCGTGGTGAATACTTTAAATGAATTTGATTGCGGTGCTGAAATGGGACGATTCTTTGGTGTTCACGTAGACGGCGTCTGTGAGGCCTCACGCTGTAGCCGCTGTTCTGCGCAACATCACTTTCACTCAGGAGCGATACGACAGCTTCATAGAGCTGCAGGAGAAACTGCACCAGAACGTCTGCAGGTCAGTCCACACGCACACGGTCTCCGATTCATTATGAGGCGTTTCACTGCAAATCCTGATGTTTTTTCACTCTGCTCTTGTCCCATCAGGAAAAGGACGCTGGTTGCCATAGGAACTCATGATTTGGACACCATCTCCGGTCCATTCACTTACACAGCCAAAGCGCCCGCAGATATCCGCTTCAAACCACTCAATCAGAGCAAAGAGTACAACGCCACTGAGATCATGAGTCTCTATAAGGTGAGATCTGATTGGCTGTTAAGGACAAACCAGGGGATGAATGAAAGGACAGTTGATAATAATGCATAACTTTATTGTTATTGTTTGCTATAATTACATGCAACCAGGACTTGGCATTATATATTTTAGGCATTTTTCTCACTATCGGTATCGGCATTTATAATGGCTGATAAATAAATATTTTTTTTTAAATGTGTGTGCAGTGATTAGGGCTGAACTATTATGTAAAATAATGTTTTTTTTAAACCAAAATTGTGATTTAATATGCGATTACTTTTTAAGTTCTATACCTTCTGTATTAGTCGACAAAGACGAGCAATAAATCGTTGTACAGTAGGGATGGGAATCTTTTGGCAGCTCATGATCCAATCTACTTTTTTTCTAATTAATCTTAATAAAATATGCATTTAATTTCATGTGTAAAAATATATATATATATATGGGCAACAATTAATCGCGATTAATCGCATCCAAAATAAAAGTTTGTGTTTACATGATATATGTGTGTGTGGTGTGTATAATTATTTTGTATATATAAATACTAACACATGCATGTATATATTTAAGAAAAATGTGTTCTTAATATATCAAATATTTATATTTATACATAATATTAATTATGTAGAAATATATATAAAGTATATACATGCAAATATTACTTAAATATATACATGCATGTGTGTGTATTTATATATACAAAATAATTATACACACCACACACACATATATTACGTAAACACAAACTTTTATTTTGGATGCGATTAATCGCGATTAATTGTTGCCCATCCCTATGAAATAAAACTGTGGAATATCCCTTTAAAGTGGCTAGTAGGAGTGACTGCGTTACACGCCATTGCTGAAATCCTTTATGAATACGTTTAATGTGTTTTAGACTGACAGTCATCTGAGGCACTACCTGCATATCATCGAGAACGAACCTCTCTACCCCATCATTTATGACAGCAATGGAGTCGTCCTGTCGATGCCGCCCATCATCAACGGTGAGTTCGAAACACGCATATGCTTTCACGGGAACACGGACAGAAATGCACACAAATGTCTGTTCATCTTTAAGCTTTGTGATTTAGTTCTCTCTCTCTCTCTCTCTCTCTCTCTCTCTCCCTCAGGGAACCACAGCAAAATCTCATTAAACACAAAGAATGTTTTCATTGAGTGCACGGCCACAGACCTCACAAAGGTAAACCGCTTCCCTGACATCAAATATGAGTGTAGATTCTGATGCAGTCAGAGGCTCAATAGGTATATGTTGTAATAATATATATTGTAATCTTCATAGTTTGAGAGACTGGAACTACAAGGTGCTTTTAACCATGAAAACGGTTTTGTGTGTGTTTGCAGGCAAAGATCACGCTGGACATGATAGTGACCATGTTTAGTGAATACTGCGAGGACCCGTTCACGTGAGGACCGCTGCTGTTGTTTTATATGTTATTCAGTGTGTTCAGTGTTCAGTACTGAGATGTGCTCGTCTCTTTATTCAGGGTTGAGGCAGCTGAGGTTGTTTATCCTGATGGCAGATTGTGTGTGTATCCGGTATGTACTCAGTTTTTAACTTATTAATAATAATATTTAGGGCTGTCAAACGATTAATCGCGATTTATCGCATCCAAAATAAAAGTTTGTGTTTACATGTAGGTGGTTGAGGAGATTCCCCTCTCTATGTAAAGCGCTTTGAGTGCCGAGAAAAGCTCTATATAAATGTAATGAATTATTATTATTATTAATTATATGTGGGTGCACTGTGTATAATTATATATATATATATATATATATATACACACATGCTTATATATATTTAAGAATATTAGATTATGTATATAGATTTGAATATAATTTATAAATAAATATAAGTATTTTATATATAAATAATATTTTTTTCTTAAATATACATGCATGTGTGTGTATTTATATATACAAAATAATTATACACAGTGCACCCACATATATTATGTAAACACAAACTTTTATTTTGGATGCGATTAATCACGATTAATCGTTTGACAGCCCTAATAATAATATAACGAATATAGAAAAATGCTACCTGTAAATATACACTACTGTTCACAAGTTTGGTCTCAAAGATTGTTTTAGTTTTTGAAAGATGGCTCTTATGTTCACCTGGGCTGCATTTATTTGACCAAAAATACAGTAAAATTGTGAAATTTTATTACAATTCAAAATTTCTGTTTTCTATTTGAATATATTTTGAAGTGTAATTTATTCCTGTGATCAAAGCTGTATTTTCAGCATCATTACTCCAGTTTTCAGTTTTACATGATTCTTCAGAAAACACTCTAATATGCTGATTTGATGCTAAAGAAACATTTCTGATTATTATTAATGTTAAAAATAGTTGTGCTGCTTCATATTTATGTAGAAATCTTCTTTTTTTTTAAATTAGCTGAAATAAAAGTTCAATAGAACAGCATTTATTTGAAATATACATCTTTTGTAATATTATAAATGTCTTGAATGCATCCTTGCTGAATAAAATTATTACTTTCTTTCTTTCTTTCTTAAAAAAAAAAGCCTTGCTGACCCCAAACTTTTAAATGGTAGTGTACAGTATATGAATGAAAAACCATTACATACAAACCCTACATTTTTCCTACATTTTAACAAATAAAGTGTTTATTTGTTAAAGAACCGTCAAAATCATGCTGTTGATAGATCTTAACTTGTATACAGGACTAAATATTAAATCCAGATTAAAAATAACTATTAAAATAATTATTATTATACCGTATATAAATAAAAAATTGTGTCTTTTTTGAAAGTCATTCTTTTATTTGCTGACATTAGGAGCTGGCGTACAGGACGGAGACACTGTCTGGGGACTTCGTCAACAAAAAAGTTGGGATCAAGTGAGCATATTTTAAACATTTGATCTCATTAGAGCACATGTCAAACTCTAACTGTCCTGCAGAGTCAAGCTGTGTCCGAAATCACCCCATAGACCCTTAAAATTAGGCACTATTTCAGCGGACAGCTATTTGTAGTGGTGTCCGAAACCATAGTGTACCATAAAGCACTGCAGTAATGAGTGTATGACTAGAGAATACCCATAATGCACTGTAAGGGTCTTGCCAAATGAATTCCCACATCTCACCAGAAGATGTTTCGACTCTTCCATACATTTATTTTCCAACCGCTAGTCCAGTGTAATATCGCACATAATTGATTTTTAAATAGCGAGCACAAGCAACAGCCGTCAGTGTCTGAAATGAATTCGCTCACCCATATTCATTCACTCCCTCAAGTGGACTATATTAGTGAGATATAGGGACTAGTGAATGAGGGCCCGTGATTCGTTGGTTCAGCAACTGGTATTTGTTTACACATAGACCATTTCACAAGATGTAAACAACACTGGTCCAGAAGCACTTCCTGTTTCAGTTTGTAACTGTTTTCTTTATTTCACATGTAAAGAAAACATCTTAAAGATGTTTGTTTAATTTTTTGATTCAGTTTTATATGTATTTTGTTTATATTGTATTTTATCCCAGCTTTTATGTAGTGTTAAAAAACTGAAACAGGAAGTGCTTCTGGACCAGTGTTGTTTACATCTTGTTAAATGGTCTATAGAAATTGTCTTAAAGGAGTAGTTCACTTTTAAAAAAACTTGCTAATAATTTACTCACCCCCATGTCATCCAAGATGTCCATGTCTTTCTTTTTTCAGTCGAAAAAAATTAAGGTTTTTGATGAAAACATTCCAGGATTTTCTCCATATAATGGACTTCAATGGGAACCAAACGGTTCAAGGTCCAAAAGACAGTTTCAGTGCAGCTTTAAACGACACCAGACGATGAATAAGGGTCTTATCTAGGACCCTTCGAGTCGTGACTCCTAAAAAGATTTGTTCATTTTGATGAACGAGTTCGAACAGGAGAGTCACGAACATGCATCAAAGAACAGCAAGGCGAACATTTGCGCTTATAAAACTTAAACTTTTTAATTTATTTTTTAAATGAGCGATCGTTTCGCTTGATAACACACGTATTCATCGTCTGGAGTCGTTTAAAGCCCTTTGAAGCTGCACTGAAACTGTCTTTTGGACCTTGAACCGTTTGGACCCCATTGAAGTCCATTATATGGAGAAAATCCTGGAATTTCTTTTCGACTGAAGAAAGGGTATCATGGGTATTCTCTAGTCATACACTCATTACTGCAGTGCTTTATGGTATTCCTAGGGATTTGTTGTGTGTCAAGGGTCTTTGTGATCTGTCTTGAAGGTTTGTTCAAGTTTTTGTAGTTCCACATAGCTAAACTTTACAGGACAGTTGTCATCCCTGCATTAGAGCTTTAACTTCTTTCTTTCTCCATTCCGGTTAGTAGATTAAACACTGATCACACTCTCTGTGCTCTTTGTTCAGTGAATCAGCAGAAAGCATCGCTCAGCTGCTGACCCGGATGTGTTTGAGGTCAGAGGTCAGCGGCGAGGGCGATCACATCCAGGTTGAGATCCCGCCCACACGCTCCGATGTCATCCACGCCTGTGACATCATGGAGGACGCTGCCATAGCGTACGGCTTCAACAACATCGTCAGGAGCACGCCACGCACGTACACAGTAGCCAATCAGGTTTGACCAATTAAATCTGAGATCAATTTAAATGTTCAGTGTTTGTTTTGGCGCTTACACGTGTGTTTTTGTATTTGCAGCTCCCTCTAAATAAACTGACAGAGTTACTGAGGCAAGACCTAGCAGCCGCCGGCTTCACTGAAGCTCTGACATTCGCTCTGGTTAGAAATCACTCCTCTCACTTATATTAAAGGAGTAGTTCACTTTAAAAAAATCTTCTGCTGATAATTTACTCACCCCCATGTCATCCAAGATATCCACGTCTTTCTTTCTTCAGTCGAAAAGCAATTAAGGTTTTTGATGAAAACATTCCAGCATTTTTCTCCATATAATGGACTTCAATGGGAACCAAATGGTTCAAGGTCCAAAAGCCAGTTTCAGTGCAAACCACAAACTGTTCAAAGGGCTTTAAACGATTCCAGATGATGAATAAGGGTCTTATCAAGCGAAACGATCACTCATTTAATAAATAAATAACAAAGTTTAAGTTTTATAAGCTCAAATGCTCGCCTTGCTCTGTTCTGTGATGCGCGTACGTGACTCCTGTTCGAATTCGTTCATCTAAAGAAATGAATCTTTTTTCGAGTCAATTTGTTCATTTCGTTCGTCGAATGAAACAAATGACTCGAAAAAAGATTTGTTCATTTTGATGAACAGGTTCGAACAGGAGAGTCACGAACGTGAATCACAGAACAGAGCAAGGCGAGCATTGAGCTTATAAAACGTAATTTTTTTTTTTTTTTAATGAGCGATCGTTTCATTTGATAAGACCCTTATTCATCATCTGGAATCGTTTAAAGCCCTTTCAACAGTTTGCACTGAAACGGTCTTTTGGACCTTGAATCGTTTGGTGCCCAGTAAAGTGCATTATATTATATAAAAACCTTAATTTCTTTTCAACTGAAGAAAGAATAACATGTACATCTGGGATGACATGGGGGAGAGTAAATTATCAGCAGAAGTTTTTTAAAAGTGAACTACTCCTTTAAGCTTATATTCTGCATAGGTTTGGCATTTTCCCCTCATATTCCACTTTCTACCTGAGAATTAGAATTAAACGGGTAGTTTTTACAAGATTTGCGTATGTAAATTATCTTAATTTTTAAGAACTGGGTAGACAGGTTTCACAACCTCAATTCTGATTTAAATTTGATTCAGTATCTAATCCGTATCAAGTATTTATATATGTGATATATACACACACACTCATTTTACCTTCTCTCTGCAGTGTTCACAAGAAGATATCGCAGATAAACTTGGGAAAAACATAGCAGAAATCAAAGCAGTCCACATCTCTAACCCAAAGACCGCAGAGTTTCAGGTAACACACACCATCCACAAAAGATTCTAAGATCCTGTCAGATTTATCACATTTGTCCACTAGAGGGTGCTTTCACTAGTTTAAATCAGTTATAGGGATACTATAAGAATAACGGTAACCAGATACCTTCTGGTTACTGATATTTTTCTAAATATCAGAAAATCGGCTGAATGCATTCAAAAACGGTAAAACTCAACTGTTTATCTCTGGGGGAGTGGTAAAATGAGCCTATTTCCCAAAAAAGTGGAGTATCCCTTTAACAGTAACTAAAACTGAGATTTGACTTACTAAACCCCACTGTCCTCTAGGTGGCGCGCACCTCTCTTCTTCCTGGCCTCCTGAAAACGGTCGCTGCCAACAGGAAGATGCCCCTTCCTCTGAAACTGTTCGAGATTTCAGACGTCGTCCTGAAGGATGATACAAAAGGTGTGTTTGACATCACGTCCTCGAATCAAGTAATGCATGCTAACAAATGGTCTCTGAACTTGATCTGTCTCGCAGACGTAGGAGCCCGTAACAACAGGCGTCTCTGTGCCGTTTACTACAACAAGAGCCCGGGGTTTGAAGTCATCCACGGACTCCTGGACCGGGTCATGCAGCTGCTGGATGTCAAACCAGGCCGTAACCAAGGATACCACATCCAGGCGGCAGAGGGTGAGTCATAAATGTGCAAAGCCGACATTATGTCCTTCCTCTGATCCTCTGAGTGAGATCAGTCTGTGCACCTGCTTTATGAGCTCTGAGTCATAATCAAAGATTTATTTTAGTGGTTAATATTTAACAGTGTTTATGTGCGAGCGGTAGGTCAGCAAAATATAAATGGGATGTGTTATAGTTTCTTATTTTGTTTTTACTGGACACTCAGATGCTCATTTCCTCATTTTATTTTTACTTGATGGATGTAACAAGGCTTAATGAGACTGTTTCAATTTGTTCGTTGTTTAAAATAAAGCAAAAAATTCATTTTAACCCTAAAACCATATTCTGGACAAATGTGGGCAAAATAGTTTTGATTTATTTTTAAAAAATACTTCCCTTGATCTGAGCGGTATAAGACTTGGCTACTTTTCCTAAGTTTGCCTCCTGAACAAACACATTTTTTTTGACTCAATTCTACAATGTTAAGTGGGTGAAAAAAAAAAAACTCCTTAATCTTGTATTTGGGTCAAAAATGGGCACCCATAGAAATGAATGGGGAAAAACTGTCTAAAATAAGCCAAAATGTGACCGCAAAGTCACTCCATCTTTAAGTTTTAGCTCTAAGAACTTATTGGAATGATATTTGAATGAAGTTAAAAATAATTAAAAAATAAAACTACATAGTAATTAATTTACATAGAAATAATTAACAGAGAAAATATGGTACTTTTTGAAGTAAATAAATTCAAAAATACCCCCAAAATAAAAAAAAAATACCATAAATGGATAGACAAAACTTTATCAAAGACAATGATATAACATTTATAATAAATAAAAATTAGGTTCACACCTGAGTGCCCACATTTGTCCACAATTACAGGATTAAGGGCTATGAAGTGAATACGGTTTTAGGGCTACGTTGAACAAAAGCTAGTAATGAATATAAATGAAGCTGACAAATAATAATACAAAAATAACCTTGTGCACCTAGTTCCAGAGAATAAGAGTACTATTTAATTTATAGGGTGTAACGATACCCGCATGTCCTGATTCGAAACACATACTCACTGTCACTGACTATATATTTAAATAATATATGAATAATGTATGTATGTAGACATTATCAGGACCATCAAAACATCACCCATTGCATTATTATACATTATATTCGACGTTATATAGTAGTTTAATGTAGTACTGACGCTAAAACTCTGTAAACGTATTTTTTCTCACACTGTAATTTAATTTTGGATGAACTATCCACAATAGTTGTTGCATTTTTATATTGTGATACGATATTGTTACAGCCCTATTGATTTATCATTTTTCTTACAGACTCCACCTTCTTCCCTGGCCGCTGCGCTGAGATCTTTTCACGTGGCAAAAGCATCGGACACCTCGGGGTCCTTCACCCTGATGTCATCAATCGTTTTGAGCTGACCATGCCTTGCTCTGCCATCGATATTGACATTGAGCCCTTCCTGTGATGTCATAATGCTAATTATCTTAGCCACACCCCTCCAGTTCGGTCAGTGTCTTTGCTCCTCCTTTAGAAGCGACATCCACACATTACTGGCTGCTTATCTTTAGGAGAATGAGTTAGCGGCATGTTACTGTATGTGTCAAAATAAATCACTGTTTTAATAAACCTCAGCTTGTCCACTGCTAGTATGTTACTTACTATGGAACATTTTACAACATAGCAACCAATAAATGTGGATGAATAAACCGAAACCGTTTTACTTTTGTTGGTATTTGGTGTATATCAAGCAGTGTCCTATTATAACTGTTGTATAGCTGTACTTCTTCAAAGCTTATTTAAAGGGATAGTTCACTTTGAAATGAATTTTTGGTATGTTTTAGCTTACCTCAAGGGCATCCAAGATGTAGGTGTCTTTGTTTCCACACAGTATTTTCAATTTTGACATTTTTCAGTCAAACCGTTGTTGTCTGTCAGTCATATAATGCAGGTTTAAGGGGTCCACCTCAAAGAGCATGCACAGAGAAGGCAAAATTAAACATGATTTAATGACTCGTAAATGTAATTACACATTGATGGCCTAAGACACGAAACGAGGGATTTGTGTGAGAAAACGAACAGTATTTATATCGTTTTTACCTCGTGTAACCTACGCTATCTCATGACCAATTCGTACGAGTGATTCAAAAGTGGCTAATTCATACGACCTCACTCGTACGAATTCCTACGATTTGTCTAAACCCATGTGACAGTTATGTTTAGGGGCGGGGTCAGGGCTAGGTCATTCGTACGAATTCATACGAATAGACCCTTTTACAGTTGGTAAACATGGTGACGTTTTTTCGTGGGCGGAGCTTAGGTGGAGGCAGAAAGATCCATCTGGCCGCTTCACTAACGCTAGTTAGCAAGGATTGTTAGCTTGTTTTTTTAACAATGACTGGACAAAATCCGATATTATCTTAATGTGTAAGGTTACTTAGTGTCCAGGACCGCGATTGTTATTTCCAAAAGTTATTTTTAACGGACGGAACCAGATTGGCCGACCTGTAGCCGCCTACACGCTCACTCAATGCATGGATGATCTGACAGGATTAACGTACGTTACCTCGGGTGAGTGGCCTGACTTCTACACCTACCTTATAGAGAAACCGATCATAAAGAGAAACTGAGGGCATATAAATCTTCAGATGCCTATATGGTCCTGAACAAGACTTGTGTGGACGATCCGCAGTTCTGCCGAGCCAGCGCCGAGACCACGACAATATAAAGAGTGACATTACAGTGCGATTTTAATGATGTGAATATTTTCTAGAAATAAAAGTTCCAGATACAGCATATTCATTTTTCATCAATTCTTGCACCAAACAACACAACAAGATGACATTTAATAATAATAACAATTATTAAAGCTCCTTATTATGTAGCCGAATCTGTGCTGGTTTGTATTGGCCGCCTCCAGTTTTCACTTTGTTTTGCCTCCAGCTAGCGCCGTGACGTAACTGTGACGTCGGCGCAAAAGGGGTCTATTGGACAATTCGTAAAATATGTACGATTTAGCAAAATCGTACTAATTCGTACGAGTGAGGTTGTGCGAATTGTTACGAATTAGCCACCTCGTAAAATTCGTACGAATTCCCGTGAGATCGGGTTGCGTGTAACCACAGCCACATCCAAGTGATCTGAATCAGTTGTCCAATGCCCAACGTTCCGCCGGAAGTGATCGCTTGTGCGTGTACGTCACTCATTGTTTACACAGAGATTTCGGAAGTTTTAACTTTCACTGTGAAGATCTAAACATATTTAGATATACAGGAAATCGCAATAGAAGACGATTTCGAAATATCTAAATGCGTTTAGTGAAAGGTAAAACTTCCGAAATCTCGGTGTAAACAATGAGTGATGTACACACGCAAGCGATCACTTCCGGCAGAACGTTGGACACGGTTCAGTTGGACATTCAGTGTCTGAACAACCGTAAGAATGAAAGTGATTAGAGGCTATTATGGTGAGCTTTAGTGTGTGTGTGTTTGTGTGTGTGTGTGTAAACTGCATTTGTAAGGGTTTGTGGCCACATGAGAGCTGTGTTTGTCATGAATTAATAAATCGTCCACACAGAAAACACTCCTCAGCACATCAACACAGATAGAAATGGAGGCAGAGGGAGGACACTTTCTTGAAGCCATCTTTACTGTGTTTATTCATTTCCTTCACCACATCTGTGAAAGCTCATAAACACACATCCTGAATGTCAAAACCAGCAACTCATGGCACAAATTATGTTCTTCAGTATTTTGTAATAAATATCAAATGCATAACTACATGAAAAAAAAAATATATATATATATATATATATATATATATATATATATGAAGAGTTCAGATGCAAAAGCCTCTAAGTGCCATTTGAAATTTTCTTCTAAAATGACCATTTTTATCAAGCTTGTATATTTAAGTTCAGTAATTTCACTTAAATGACAATTAATAGGTAATCTTCATTGCCATTTAAGTAAAATTACTAAACTTAAATATACAAGCTTGATAAAAATGATCATTTTAGAAGAAAATTTCAAATGGCACTTAGAGGCTTTTGCATCTGAACTCTTCATATATATAGTAAGACAAGAAAATCTTGCCCGAAATCTCCACTCAAACCACTACTATGTTGGGGGTAGGGAGTTGAGCACTATATAGTGAGCTCACCAGCATAATAGAAACACCACTTTCGGACACTACTCGATCGCCGTTGATTACATCATCTGTCAGCTGGTGCTGAACCGGCTCCGGGCTAAATAGATTTTTTTAAATAAATACGTTACGTTGAGCTTATTTCTCCAAAAATTAAAAACTAAAATTTCTGCCCGTTTCTATTATAATGCGTTCCTCCACACATGATAACAAATTTTTACGATCAGCGCCATGATAGTATGTAGGGCTTGGGTTAGTGACCACTACTTTGGAGTTGAGTGGACTATATAGGGCATAGTAATCCTCACTATACATTCGGACAGCACTACAAAATGGCGAGCTCACTATATAGCCCACTATATAGTGAGTAGTGGGTGATTTCGGACACAGCAATTGAATCACTCACTCATTAAAATTAAAAATAGACTGCAGCAATTAACATTTTGTCAGAACCTAAACGACTTGAGATTCTCAGCTCGACAGAGAATTTATGATTTGGTTCAAACTTGCCTGTAAACGCCGAGTAATTACACAGAATTTCCCAAATCCCATAGTCCCATCATCACAAACACTCTGTTCACCATAATACTGTTGACCAGTCCGATCGCGACATACGTGCTGAACTTATACGGCACTTCGATCTCTCTCCTCCTGCGCGCGTCGACGTCGCTCACAGACGCTCCGTAAATCCGGCAGAGCACTCGCAGGCTCGCCCAGCGCACCGTCTGCCGGGTCAGGACCAGCATCGCTAACCCCACCAGGAACCGTGCCACACCGAGGCCCACGGCTGCAAGCGTCAGGGGTGGCAGAGTCACTGGAAAAGGCCCGGCTAGGTCAAAGGTCAAGCCCAAACGCTCATTCACCCAGTATCCGACCGAACATCCCGCACTGCATGCTAAGATAATGGTGGTGTCCCCGCGTGTGGTGGTGTAATGGTCTAGCTCTGGGTACTTGTAGGATAGGAAGAGGGGCAGTGCCAGTGCCACGATGGGGGAGGCGGGGCTGTGGAGCTGCAGGATGTCGACGGTTCCCCAGAACGGGTACGACACGGCCATAATGACGGCTGAAATTACAACGCCACAAATCACATCCTGAGAGGAAGAGAGAGATTCACTTTAGCTTCCTGTCATTGGTATCAGACTCTGTAATTCTAGATTCATGCAGCTCAACCGTGTACCGTCATACTAACACTATAATGCAGATTTTATGGCATTATTATGAAAAATTTACTCATTTTCAAGCTGGTTGGGAGAGTGGGTATGTTGCTATGCAGTTGCTAGGGTGTTCTGAGGGATTATTGTGTTGCTATGCAGTTGCTAGGGTGTTCTGAGTGGTTATGTTGCTATGTGGTTGTTAGGGTGTTCTAAGTGGTTGTGTTGCTATGTGGTTGCTAGGGTGTTCTAAGTGTTTTTTTTAATGTCTCTAGCTGGTTGTAAGGGTTTTCTAAATAGGCTACATGTTGCTATGGGGTTGCTAGGGTGTTCTGAGTGGTTGTTAATGTTTTGCTATGTGGTTGCTGGATGTTCTGAGTGGTTATTTTGCTGTGGTTGCTCTGAATGGTAATATTGTTGCTATGAAGTTGTTGGGGTGTTCTGGTTGGTTATTAATGAGTTTCTATGTGGTTGCTAGGGTGCTCTGAGTGGTTATGTTGCTGTGTGGTTGCTAGGGTGCTCTTAGTGGTTGTTAACGTGTTGCTATGTGGTTGCTATGGTGCTCTTAGTGGTTGTTAACATATTGCTGTGTGGTTTCTAGGGTGCTCTTAGTGGTTGTTAACGTGTTGCTGTGTGGTTGCTAGGGTGCTCTTAGTGGTTGTTAACGTGTTTCTGTGTGGTTGCTAGGGTGCTCTTAGTGGTTGTTAACGTGTTGCCATGCAGTTGCTAGGAAGTTAAGGTTCTTCTTAAGGTTGTTAAGGTGGTTAATGTAAGGTTGTTAAGATGTTTTGAGCAAGGGGGTTCTAAATGGTTTACATGTTGCTGTGTGGTTGCTAGGGTACTCTTAGTGGTTGTTAATGTGTTGCTGTGTGGTTGCTAGGGTGCTCTTAGTGGTTGTTATCGTGTTGCTGTGTGGTTGCTATGATGCTCTTAGTGGTTGTTAACATATTGTTGTGTGGTTGCTAGGGTGCTCTTAGTGGTTGTTAATGTGTTGTTGTATGGTTGCTATGGTCCTCTTAGTGGTTGTTAACATGTTGCTGTGTGGTTGCTAGGGTGCTCTTAGTGGTTGTTAACGTGTTGCCATGCAGTTGCTAGGAAGTTAAGGTTCTTCTTAAGGTTGTTAAGGTGGTTAATGTAAGGTTGTTAAGATGTTTCGAGCAAGAGTGTTCTAAATGGTTTACATGTTGCTATGTGGTTGCTAGGGTGCTCTGAGTGGTTGTTAATGTTTCTAGCTGGTTTCAAGGGTGTTCTAAACGGATGTTAACGTGTTGCTATGTGGTTGCTAGGGTTTTCTGAGTGATTTCTATATGGGCAGCTTACCAGCAATGTGATTTGCTAATCTCCATCTAAAACTACACATTAATGCAACATTTAATGTCTAACTTAAATGATAAACGGCATCTTTCAAGCATGTAAGCAAATATTTGCCTTCGCATCCACCAAATACAACTGTGCTGTATTAAGGAACTAGAGGTCAAATCTATGGAGACTCTCCAGACTATATGAATTATACAGGAGTTTAAATTTTTCATATCAAACTCAAAAGTGCACGTCCATTTTAAAGCTTCCAGACTCACCAGGACCGAGTGCATGCCGGTGTAAAGACGACTGAGACACACCAGTGCAGACAGAAGCACGGCCGCGATCAACCCCAGCTCAAACGGGAACTAAGATGGGGGAAAACACACATTATTACACAAACCTTTCACTCAAAAATCAACATTCCAGCACATTCGTCAAAAGCGGCCATTAAGTGAATCTCTTTTGTGTGTGAGTGAACCATGAGAGAAATAGTCATTTTATTGCATCAATAAACTCAAAACATCCTCTCTTTTCTTCCCCCCTCTCTCTCTCTTCTAATAACATCCCTCTCTCTCTCCTGACATGTGCTCGTCCCACTGGCTTTATGCAGGACTCTGTTAATCACTGACGACATGTGAAGAGTCTGTAGATATTCATGAAGCTGCCAGCCTCCTCTGTTCTGTCTTACTCTATCCATCTCTCTCCTTTTCTCTCTTTCTTCCTCTGTCAGCCGGGGGTCTTTCACAGGAAGTTAATGAAGAACGTTTCCTGAATGGGCTCAATGGATTCTGGACAGTAGAGCTCATGTATAATTGACTGGAATGGCCTTTTTTATTCTTAAATTATACACAAATACAGCTCTCTGGTTTCCTTTTTGTAAAAATAATCATTTTTTCAAATCAGTCCATTCTTTTATGGAGTAACTAAAAGCTAGAAATCGAGATTTTATATATATATATATATATATATTTTTTTTTTTTTCTTTTTTTTTTTTTTAACAGAAGTCTCTGCTGACCAGGGCTGAAATAGACTGTTTCTATGTGAATATATTGTAAAATGTGATTTATTCCTGTGATAAAGCTGATTTTTTTTCAGTGTCAGATGATCCTTCAGAAATCAGTCTAATATGATGATTTGCTGCTCAAGAAACATTTCTCTGATTATTATCAATGTTGAAAACAGTTGTGCTGCGTATAAACCATTGTTCTTTTAATAAACAAAGTCCAGCATTTATTTGAAATAGAAATGTTTTACTGTCACTTTATCAATTTAATAACTTTTTTTTCTGAACAAAAGAAATCATTCATTAAAAAAAAAAAACATATTGTACAGACCCCAAGTTTTTGAATGGTATTGTAAACACTCCTCTGATTGTAAAATATATCACGATTATATATCATATTTTGAGAAGATTGATCTGGAAGATCCTGGGTTTCAAGTTTTGGCACTTGCTATGTGAACACACACACAACAGGGACATGATTTAAAAAAAATAATCACTTGTATTGTTCACGGTCAAAAATGACAGCATTGGACAATAATGGGAAGCAAATTTGACCTGGTGGAAGTGTTTGATACTGCGCCCAGGGCTGGACTGGGACAAAAAAATAAAAAATAAATAAAAATAAATCGGCCCGGGCATTTTGGCCCACACTACATGTGTGTGTGTGTGTGTGTGTGTGTGTGTCATAAACACAACTGAACTTTGCACGCCCTTGAATATGAATATTACCAACCCCTATAAAACCACTAATGCCATGTAATAAGTAAATAGGAGTGAGTAACTAAGTTGAACTATACTCCAGTAATCCTAAAACAAGCTATAAGCTGCATTGAAAAAAAAAATTGTGCTTTTTAAATGTTAAATTAATCAATCTGGTGCTCTTTGAGAGTTCAAAATTAAAAGCTCTGCACCCAAAGCTCATTGTTTTATGATTTATGCTTTGATTTTCTCACAGTATAAGAGCAAAACCCTTACAAAACACAACTTCAACTTTATTTTTGTTTCACTTTTTTAAACGTTTTTTTCATTCAATAATCTGACAAGTTTCTTCTTTAATTAATTTCTGACAGTTTAAGTTTTCAGGTCTCTACTCAAAAAGGGATTAACAGGTAATACATGGATCATAACTATTCCATAAATATAATTTAGAACAATAAAATACCCTAAAAAAAGAAAATAGTAAAAACCATAATTTATTTAATTTCATTGAAAAAATATATTTTTAAATCAGTCATTTTTGACCGTTTTGTTTCCTTTTTTTTTTTAAATGATTCAAAAAGTTTAATAATCTTAATTCGCTCTAACATATTTAAGATTTACAACAGTTTAAGTTGGAAATTTAATTTTCAGGTCTATGTTCAAATATTAAATTATTAAATAAAAAACAGTATCAAGCTAAAATATACATGTCGTCTAATTAAAATATATATATTAAAATGTCCTTTTGCAGAGGGTTAAGAGCGGGAATGCAACTTTACAGTTCACTAATAAAGTTTTACAATGCTTATATAGCTCCGTGTGCTACTGTATGGCCTGTTTTAAAACAGATAAGTGAAGAGGTTTAGACTTATACCTGAGCGAATATTAGAAAACACTGTCAAGACTTTGAAAAGGGTTTGAAAGCTGATGGATGGCACCATCTGACTAGAACTCACACTGATTGACAGTCATTTACTGGGAGCTACACAGCAGATGTGTGGGCGGGGCTTGGGCTGACTGATGAGACAGATGGCCACGCCCCTTCACTAAACTATGCAAAAGCAAGCCACATTCAGACGTTCTCAATGGAGTGTGTGTGCCTGACCTTTACTCTCTCGTGAGCGCTGAGGAGCAGTGTGAATGAGATGGCTGTTGCTGCCATGGCGTGTGTGGAGGGCAAGCCGTACTCTGCGTCCACACGAGTCTCCAGTTTAACCACAGGGGGAGACGGAGGACGGGGCAGCTTTAAAATATCCTTCATCACCTGCCCGATATACATCACCACCTGAGGAGAGGGGGATGAGATGCGCTTCATTTTATACAGCTTTACAATTCAAAACGAGTGTGTGAGAGAATGTGTGTGTGTGTGTGTGTGAGAGGGTTTGGGTGTGTGTGTGTTTTATCTCAGCCACTCACAGCCCACACATTGACGAGTCTTCTGCACAGGAAGGGGTCGAGGTTCCAGTGGATGCTGGGCAGAAAGGTGATGTAAAACACTTCATGACCCAGAGTGGCCGACGTCACAAACAGGAAGTAGAACAGCCAGTTCTTCACCTCGTACTGAGGCCTGGGACGGTCCTGTACAGATGAACTCAAACTGTGTCATCACATCAACAAACAAGAATCACAAGCAAAAATGTAATAAATGTTTTTGTTTTTTTTAATTAGTTATTCATGCCAGGGTTGGGAGCATCCGTAAAATAGGAACAGGCCATTTAGGATTGTTTTTGTATGTGTAGAAATGACATGCTGTATTAGCTTTATTGATTACACTGTAAAAAAATATTGATGGTTTAACTTTAAAAAGTAAGTAACCTGGTTGCCTTAAAATTTTAAGTTCATTGAACTGGAAAAAGTGAGTTAATACAATGAAAGAGATTAATTTAACCATCAGAAACTCAAAAAAATAAGTTATCTCAACAAAATAAATTATTCTAAAGTTGATTTGACAAAAGAAAATAACAAATCTTGAAACTATTTTTAGTTGGGTTTATGTTCATAATATATTTTTAGAAAAGCCTTTCGGGGACCCGAGACACAATTAGCTTATGCTATACTCTGCTTATACTATTATATAATATACTTATGCTATTTTCCATTTTTCCACTGGAATCGTTTTTTTTTTTTTTGGCATTTCGCCAAATAAACAGTTTAAAATAAACTTAAAAAATAAAATATTAAGACTACAGATGCAAAAAACTCAAAGTCTGTCTAATATATATATATAGCATTTTTTGTGTTTTTACTGACTCTATCAGTGACATTTTTGAAAATAAGGCAACTGACTGGTAAGCTTTTCATCGGCATTAAGTGAAATTAAATCCTGATGAAAATCATAATTTAAAAGACAAATGTCAGACTGACTTAGAGGTTGTTGCATATGAAGTCTACAAATATAAAACTATTTTTCAATATTGTTTCAACATTTAAGGCACCATAAAAAACTTTGAAAAAAAAAACTTTTACCCATTACATATCAAACAAAAGTTGAACTTTTTCATAGTTCTCCCAAATTATGAAAATACAAAATTTGAATCCACGTGAAAAACTTAAATGGCATAAACATTATTATTTAATATGTTATTAATGTGAGGTACGGCTATGTCAAATATTTGTGTGATCTACCTCTCAGTTCATAGCTTACTCTATTAGAAACTAAATTATTTCAAAGAACATGAGTCATCAATTTGTTTAATAAACGTGTATTCTAAACCAACCAGAGAAACAGGAAAATCGTGTCGTTTGGTATTTGTTTTGAAACGCATTGTCTTTGCGTTAGGGGAAACTCACCTACCTAGGTTTTAATTCACCTAAAAAAGAGAGCGTTTTTTAAATCTGATTTACTCACTTTGTGTTCACACTGTGAACTGGCGGATTTATAGTTGTAGTTTCTGTCGTGCGCGCGCGACGTCCCGTTCGACACCTGTTCCGCTCCGCGCCGCTGGCTCGTGACCGGAGCGGATCCATTGGCGTTCACGCGTTTGTTTTGAGTGATAAACGCGTCTCTCTCTCTCAGGACCAGGCCGCAGCACCGCTGGAAGCTGACCACCAGCTCGGGGCTGTTCAGATACGAGATGACCCCCCACATGTTTGAGCTCTGGCTTCCGCACCGGCCCAGAGCGCGTTCACAGGTGTGTTTTACAGCTGCAGGTGACAGCGCCTCGAAGTGTGCTGACGTAGAGAAGCCTATGCCTATTTTGATTGGCTAACATGCGTGCATGGAAAATGGGTTATCATACCCGTCACAGCAGGTGAGTCATTCCTGAAATGTAGTTGTAGAGTTACACAACATGCTTTATTAGGCTATGACAGGTTACAAAAATATTGGATGAAATAATGATAGAAATAATGTCTCTTCTGTAGGCTAATTGGAAAGTAAATATATAAATAACTAAAAGAAATACCTCCAAATTGATCAAAAATAGCTCTCACCAACTTACAAAAACAAACTAACAAAATGTATTGTCTTTAGTTTTCTTCCTCTTTATCCTGTTTTTCTTCCTCACCCTCCTTGTTTGCCCATCTATATTTTATGTAAAGCTGATCTTTCAGCAGTTTTTTGAAAACCAGGACATTTTCATCACTTTATAAGAAACAGCCAGGACAGGATGTGAAAACAGGACATGTTCTGGGAAATCAGGACTGTTGGTCATCCTATTATATACGGTAGGCCTGGCATCAGAATGCACGGCGCCAGGATTCCAGTTTTGGATGGGCCAGACCAGACCAATTGTGGGTGGGCCTTGAATTAAAACGTTTTCATATCAGTTTAACCTAATAAGACTGACTCTGGTTTGGACATCCCATGTTTTGCTTTATCCAAGATGAGGTATTAATCCAATTTTAATTTTGCTGACTTTTCAAAGCAAAACTGGATTGGATAACCTTGATCCAGATACCAACTTTTCCAGACGGAAAACAGCACAATATAACAACAATACACACATTTATTTTAAACAAGCATTGTTACGTTGGTATTGTCTGTATGTTGAAGATGCTGTCTGTATAACGGTTAGACAAATCAAGTCTAAAATGTGTTTTAAAGTTTTATTAGCCTGAACCACCACATCATCCACCATCTGAAACTCCCCATACTGAGATCAGAAATGAATCAAGGCTTATTTTATTTTTTTTTTTCAAACAATTCCAAACCAATGCTGGATTACATGATTTAACACATTTGCAAAACTACATCCAATCTAATAACAGACAGATCTGATCATATTTCTTCTGAACAACTGGGCCTTGGTGTTCCTGCTGTTAAAACTTCCTGACTGAGGACCATTCATTTAATCATGTTTTGTTTGACTAAAGTAAAAATAAGAAAGGATTTTTTTTTTAAATAAATCTAATTGTCAGTTTTTTTTTTCCCACATCAGAAGTTATCACCTGGAAAAACATGGTGAAAATGTGATTTCTATATTTTAAAATAGTGAGTTTTATATTTTATCCAATAAAACAACTCACAAGGGACACTGGTTGTCTCATTGAAAACATGTTTATTTGATTGAATGGAGGCTGTATGAGAACTATGGGAATGAATGAACCTGAAATAGTGTGCAAGTCACCTGTTTCTGGGTTATAAGTTTCCATGACAACAAACAGGTAAATGACTCACAATGGAGAATAAACACGGTTAAATGGCCAGCTTTTAATAGTCAGTATATATTGGGGGATAAAAACACAGAGATGTTTGGACAGCAAAAAAAGAGTTAACTCTACTGACGTAAACATAATCTTTTAGCAGAAAGGCTCGTGCCGTTTGACCCGTACGCGTGTGTGATGCTTTGATCGAGGTGTGATTCCCACACACATCGGTTCTGGATGAGAGAGAGAGAGCAAAGCATTACATCACCTCCCTTCCGGACTGGAACGATACGGTTAATTATTTAGGCGACTCAGCGTGCACGGAGACTAAAAGAACCGGGTATTTAAAAGGGCCTTACACAAAAATGTCCGGGTTTAACGGGAGCACGGGCTTTCGCTGACAGGATAAAGAGAAGAAAAGGCGGCGCGCGTGACTGCCTCGCGCCCATTGTGTCGAGGATGTGAGGCAGCGCGAAATGCCATGGCAGATAACGGGTCGGAGCCGCCTGCTCTCCCGACACCAAAGGCGTTTCCCTACGAGGAATACGAGTGCAAAATCTGCTACAACTATTTCGACCTCGACCGTCGCGCGCCCAAGATCTTGGAGTGCCTGCACACGTTCTGCGAGGAGTGTCTGCACGCGCTGCAACTGTGCGAGGAGCGGCCGTGGCGCATCAGCTGCCCCGTGTGCCGACACCGCACGTCCGTTCCCGAATACCGGATCCAGAACCTGCCCAACAACACCAAGGTCACAGAGGACTTCCCTCTGTACATCGACTCGGACCCTGTGCCTCAAGATGCCCTTCCGCCGCACCCGCCTCCGATGCACCCGGCGCTCGTGGCGCTCAGACGCGAGGAGGACGCGTCCATTCTTGCGTCCACCACGACGGTGTCCACCGCGACCACGCTGTCCCAGGACTCGGTCTCGCGCTACGAGAGCTGCCGCAACTGCAGACGCCTCGCGCTGACCACCGGGTGCGTGTGCGTCATCTTCTCCTTGCTCTCCATGCTCGTGCTGCTCTTCATGGGCCTCATATTCGTGCACAGCCACGGCGGGCCGCCATCGCCCGCGGGACCCCTGTGTCTGTCGATCGCGAGCATCCTCGCCATGGTGTCTGCGATGGTAACGTGGCTCCTCTATTGGCTGAAAGACAGACCGGAGCACGAGACGGGCCGCTCCTCTGCCTCCACTAATGCCAGCCGGAGAAACGCGTGACAGAACATCTGCATCAGCGCTAATTGCTTAATAGGCAACCTCTTTTTATGTTACTCTCTTTTATAATAGCTAGCAGGCATGTATAACGACATTTTTCTTTAGTCAAATCAACTTAGATAATTTGTGATTCGGATAACTTAATATTTTGAGTTTATGTTGATTAAGTCAAACTCCTTTATTGTACACTGTAAAAAAAAATATTTTCAAGATTTGTTATCACAATCAATCTCCATTGTATTAACTCACTTTTTCCAGTTCAATCAACTTAAAAATTTTAAGGCAACCAGGTTACTTCATTTTTTTAAGTTAAACCAACAATATTTTTTACAGTAAATTAATTAAACTTTTTTTAATTTCAATGAACTCAAAATTGTAAGGCAACCTGTTTACTTTTTTAAGTTAACCCGAAAAAAAAAAAAATTTTTAGGGGATCTCTCTCAATTGTTTATATTTGTGTAATGATTAGTCAAAATAAGCGAAAACATGTTCAGTTAACAATAGTTTCGGTATTAACTAATCATGGGCAATACATTTTTACAGTATTTAAAAATCTGTTATCATTATTAATGAAAATGAATCTGTTGTTAGTTCATGTGAGCTTAAATAAATCATAAGGTAACACTTTGCAATAAGGTCTCATTTTATTAACACTGGGAAATGCAGTTGTTAACATGAACTAAATATTTTTGCATAGCATTCATTAACCTTTGTTAAAAATAAAATTATTCATTGTACATGTTAGTTCGCATTAACTTTAACTGATACAAACCTTGATTTTAATAATGTATTAGTAAATGTAACAGCAACTAATATTAATAAATGCGGTAAAAGTAGCCTATTGTTTCTCGCTAGTTAAATAATGTTAACAAATGAAATATTATTGTAAAGTGTTACCAACAAGATTAATAGAAACAATTTTGATTTTAATAATGAGTTATTACTGGTAAATGTAGAAATTAACACTAACTAAGATTAATAAATGCTTTAGATGTATTTTTTCATTGTTAGTTCATGTTAACTTTAGTTAACCAATGCTAACAAATAGAACCTTATTGTAAAAATGTTACCAATGTTACTAAAATGGAGTTCACATAGGCGTCTACTCAATTAGTACTAGGAAAACTGGAAAATGTACTAGTTTTGAACAGCAAACTTCAACAACTAAAGAAGAACATGTATTTATAGACGCATCTAATGAGTCACCATTGGATCACTCACAACGGGCCAACGGCGAGTGCTAGTATTTCAACTATTTCAGCCCAAAGCATTGCCGTGCGAGAAGTATCTGCACACTTGAGCAGCCGTGGCACATCAGATGCCCGTCCCAGACTATTGGATACAGAACTAGCTCGACGGAGTCCACTACGACCACACTGAACGGCCGGAACAAGCGGATACATGTGTGTCGCCCTCTCCTGCCTAGCCGTTCTTGTGCTGCTCTTCATCAGCCTCACACTCGCACACAGCCACCTATAGATCTTCTGCTTGGACACCTGTGTGAGCTTGAGAACAACTTCATGCATCTGCTAAAAATCACCAATACACCAGTTGGGTAAACGTCATTGCGGAAATGGTTTGATATTTCATTTCTAATGGAATGACATTCAGACTTTGGTTTTGGAGCCACAATATACAGTTCAAAAGTCTGTGAGACCACTAGTGAAAATGCATCTATTTTGTATAATTTTTGATTTAATCCAACATTTCCATTACTTATGCATTTGGCGGACACTATTTCGATTGTCCGCTTTAGACATCTAGTAACTTTGCAACTATGTACTGGACATGTCAACTAACTCTCATCAGAGTATTACTAAAGAAGTATATCTGTTTAATATCAGCTAACACTCCTCTGACAATAAGTACGTTTTCAACTACGTCAACTTATACTAACCCGAACACTAAAAATCGTTCTAAATATAAAAGAACAGCACAGTTCACTCCATAGACATATACACTAGACGTCACCTTGGGGTTCTAAGCATGCGTCAAAACCGCCGCCATCTTGGAACAGTTGTCTTGTCTATGGAAGTAGCTAGGTAACACTGCTATCTCTGCCTTTACTTCGAATTCATTGATGGTGGCGGACTTTTGTGCCGCGTATGATGTTCACGGAGAAATCTGAACTAGGAAGAATGTTTTTTTTTGTAATTAATTTTTTTTTTTTCTGGAATCAATGATAAATGCATGTCTGACCGTTGGAACAAACCAAAAAAAAAACGAGAAAAATCCTACGCTATCTCACGACCAATTTGTACGAATTCGTACGAGTGATTTAAAAGTGGCTAATTCGTACTAACTCATACGACCTCACTCGTACGATTTGTCTAAACCCACGTGACGGTTATGTTTAGGGGCGTCATTCATACGAATTCATACGAATTGGCTAATTCGTAAAATATGTACGATTTAGCAAAATCTTACTAATTAATTCGAGTGAGGTCGTAGGAATTGTTGCGAATTAGCCACCTCGTAAAATTCGTAGAATTCCCGTGAGATCTGTTTGGAAAAATCACATTCATGGTGATATATGGTGATTTTATTTCCGTTTGACGCTGATGCATTAAAGTGCAGGGGCTCCCCTGTTTCAAGATGGCGGCTCTATTGATGCATTCGTTCCAATGAACTGCCGTAGCCAAGGTGACGTCTAGTGTATATGTCTATGAGTTCACTCTACAACGATAACATCACTGAGAAACGATATCATTGGATTCACTTTCAGATTTTTTTTCAGCTGATGAACGTTACTAGCCACTCAGCATTTTCACTGGCCACGATTTTTGAAACCAGTGGGGAAAAACTGCCATATAGGTATTTTTAATATTATCTCATCATTTTTCAGCAGGAATATTAGGCTGCCGTCACTTTAATACCTGATGCACTGATCCTTTATACTGCTACACACGCGTTTTCTTTCTCAAATGTTTACATTCACTTAAAACGTAACTGATAGTATTTATGTGAAAGACAAAATCTGCAGGAATGAGTACAATTATGCACAATATTCACAATCTCACATCGAAATTCAACATTTGTCACCTAATCCTAATTTAACAGTCTACTAAAGTCTAACGAGAGTTAGTTGACATGTTAGTTTCGATATGTTGTCAAAAGTGGACTATTGAAATTAAGTGTAACCGACATTGCATTCAAGTTATCCATTTTATTAGTTGATGCTTTCCCTGGAAATTGAACTATTTAAAATGATCACTCTATTATATTATCAGCGAACATGAGCACAAAGTTGAATTGAAAAAATGGTCAGTGTCACAAATCTGCTCGTTAAATTTCTTTGTCATAACCTTCCTTTATGTTTTTTTCTCTCTCTGTCTGTTTATGTCCAAATAAATATAGTCTCCAAGATTAATTTGTTAAAAAGGGCAGTTCATTTGGAAAGCATCTGATGTGAACAAACATCTTTAAAAAGTCAGTTTTACATACAGTCTAAATCATACACATCTTAAAGACGTTTTCTAAGTGTCTATTTAACATCTGACAGGGAAATGTCTTTTCTGTGGGAAACACGCTTTGCAGATGTGTGTGTGCTATTAGGAATACGTATATCATATTTTCAGTGTGGTCTCAGACTTTTGAACCCAACCATAACACAGTTTAACATTGTATTCACTGAAAATTCACTACTAAAATCTGGAAAATATAACATTTCTGTGAATTGAAGCTGACCGTAATTGGACGATAATCTCGTCATCCACTCGCTTTATCATGCTATTTGGTCTTTGAAAAAGTAGACCTCTTTGTTCTTATGGATCAATAGCTTTACTATGGAAATTGTGAATTTTATACCACCTCTTCGTTCTCGCTTCACCTATGCATCTATCACGGTGAAACCGTGTTATTTGACGCCTAACTGACAATCTCTTTTTGCTATCGTCCGTGTGAGCTTTTAATGTGCATACCTAAGTAGGCTACTCACTTTATCTGATTTTTGTACCACAGAAACATGTGATGCGCAGTACCGATGTAGTATAGAAGTAAACAAGCTGCATGATGTTAAACGAAACCTAGATACTGAACTCTGCTGAAAAGAAGGCCAATCCTCGCCTGACAAAAGCTTCCTTGTTAATCAAATCAGCACTGCCGATTTTCCATTTCTACACAAGCAATGACAAATCAGTCATTTATGAAGGGTATTTGATATGATGATGCTTGATGTGAAAAGTGTTGGTGGAAAGCTCCGTCTCTGTGTGGGGTGTGTTAGGAAAGACGTGCACAGCGGATGAAACAGACAGGAATCTGACACCTGAGGAGCAGCTCGAGTTTTGCCGTGTCCTTGCGGAGACAGGATGCAGGGATAGAGAAATCAATGCTAAAGACTCACACACTGGGACTGCAGCCAAGAGGTGCTTTCGAGCGCTTGCTGACCCACTTATGAAATGGTGCATCTCTCCCGTAGGTCATTTGTCTTGATTTCACAAACTCATTTATTCATCCAGCTAACCGTGGCTTGTTAACTTCAGTGCAAAGCTATAGGCATTAGGCCTATAGCCTATATCGTTCAGCTGATCGTTTTAGACTTAATGGTTTTATGACGATGATTGAAGACACTTGATGCCCTAAACATCTGTATTTCATGTTAATGGTGTGGTCAGATTTCCGCGCGATCCCATGGAAGTTTGTTTCCGCCACTGAAACAAAAATAAAAAAGGTAATTGCGACTTTTTAGTTTACAATTCGGACTTTTTTTCTCGCAATTGTGAGTCTTGATTTCGCAATTCTGACTTTTTATTTCCTCAAAATTGCGTGATATAAAGTCGCAATTCTTACCGTTTTCTTAATTGCGAGTTTATATCGCGCAATTCGTACTTTTTTCTCACAGTTGCGTGTTTACATCTCCCAATTATTACTTTTTTTCTCGCAATTGTGAGTCTAGATTTCGCAATTCTGAAATTTATTTCCTCAAAATTGCGTTATATAAAGTCGCAATTCTTACCGTTTTCTTAATTGCGAGTTTATATCGCACAATTCATACTTTTTTCTCACAGTTGTGTGTTTACATCTCCCAATTATTACTTTTTTTTCTCGCAATTGTGAGTCTAGATTTCGCAATTTGTTCTTTTTATTTCCTCAAAATTGCATGATATAAAGTCACAATTCTTACCGTTTTCTTAATTGCGAGTTTATATCGCGCAATTCATACTTTTTTCTCACAGTTGCGTGTTTACAACTCCCAATTATTACTTTTTTCTCGCAATTGTGAGTCTAGATTTCGCA